ACGCTCTCACATAATACTAGCGTAAAATAGTAGCCTTAATGCTGCCGTTTCGTATGGTAAGTTAAGAGAACCGGAGACCCTTTTTACTGGAAATGAGGCATTCCATCTTAATCCTCATGGCTGACAACGCATCTGCATTTTGATTCGCAATCGAGGATTAATGTAGATGTCTATGGGGTACTCTTATTAGTTTGTGTCTATGGGCCACAGCAACCACTTACCACAAACTAATAAGAGTACACCTCTTACCATCAGTTGGAATGTGTGCTCATTTGTCACCTTATCCTATAAAAAAAACCTACTCATGATAATCGGTAATAGTAGTGTTTCTTTTCAGACTTTCTTTACGTACTGATTTCTTATTTTGTAACTAGTTGTTGGGTAAATTTTTCCTCACACTTGTAACCCTAAATATAGTAACGTATTTTTTTGTCTCTTTTTGCGACACACTTTGGCGGCGTAGACAGAGAAACCTATAGACAAATTGACGCCTTCTTTCGCATTCGCACACGAAAAAGATAGATTTATGCATACGTCTTTCATAGAAATGAGACAGAGCGGTGTGATTGTTTGTTCTTTTCTCCGTGCCGGTTTTTTATTTATTTAGAAGACTACACTTTGCTAAACAACTTTAACAGTTCGTAGCGATCTAAGGAGTTTACAAGTTGGTTTAAGTGAGAAAAAAGTGTTTTGTGAGCTTAAGATTGGTGAATCTTCTTCAGTTCAGTTCTTAAAACAATTAAAATTTTTATCTAAATATGTTTAAAAGTCGTAAAGATAATAAGGATAATAAGAAGATGTATAAGCTAAGACTACGTTTTCGTCCTTTCTCACTCGAGGCCACGCTTATTATTAGTCTATAGCATTCTCTGTCTACGGTACTGTAGGCTTACTCTTGAAAACAATTCCGACCGATCGTAACGTTTGGTACTCTTGAAAGCGACTCTAGCGCTAAATTACTTTAGTATTGCGTGGTGATTGTGTGAACTAATTGGGATTGGAATTGAAATTGTCCAAGCGAAATCAGTACTCCCGACGCACTTTTGACAGTTAGTTGACAGCAGCGTATTGTGTTTGATAATGCGTTGGAATTGGAATTAAGGCAATAGCAAAACAGTAACGTTTTAGGAATTGTGTTCATATTAATCTTTTGTTTTCTGCAATTATCTTATTGTTTTCGATAAAATAATGACATGTTTAGCTCTTGCGTCTATTATTCTACGCCGTAATAGTGCATTACAATTAAAATAATGACGAAATGAGCTTCAAATTATGCGTTTTAGGAACTTAAGTTTTTTTCTATGAGTGATGGTGATTATGGAGCTAATGATTGGATTATTAAGGACTTTAGTGAGAAAATAGTGCTTGAATAAAAACCTATATATGACCCTCCGTAGAGAATATATTTTACATCATATTGTTACAGCCTTTATTTTTAATTCGTTATAAAGTGGTTGTTTTGTAGAAGAAATATTTTCAATAGTTAGGCGGCGCAAAGGTTTAAAGAGGATTGTTTAGATATCTCAAGTATGATCTAAAACATCCCACTGCTGGGCAGAGGTCTCTTATCATGTTTGAGAGGTTTATTGGCGGGTTTCACACGTAAAGGAAATATGAATATAATAAATGTATAATTTTATAAGAATTAAAAATAAAGGCTGTAACAATATGATGTAAAATATATTATGATTTCTTATATTAAATATCTTGTATTTAATAAAGGAAATGCTACGGTTGTAATGGATATGTCGCAATTTTAAAGTACAACAACTTTTGTCGGATGAAAGTACGTACCGTAAGGTCAAAACAGACTCTACAACTAATACGCTTAAAGCAACTAGCGATCTAATTAAGAAATACTCCGAGAAATTGAATCTAGACGTCAATTCGATGATACTTTCGTGTGCAAAACCTCCCAAGTTGTATGGGTTACCAAAAATACACAAACCTAACGCTCCATTACGTCCAATAGTGAGTCAAATCGATTCGCCAACGTACAGATTGGCTCAACACTTAGCCAAAATATTATCACCACTCAGAGGACACACAAGAGTATATACTAAGGATTCATACCATTTTGTCAGTGAGATAAAAGACCTACGTCTTGCTAACAATGAAACCATGGTCAGTTTTGATGTTCAGTCTCTATTTACATGCCTACCTGTTGAAGACTGCATCTCAATTATAACTAGGAAACTAGATGAAAATAACATGCCACCAGAATATGCAGTACTACTAAGACATTGCCTTACATCTGGCTATCTATTGTGGAAGGAAGAGTTTTACAAGCAAGTAGATGGTGTTGCGATGGGCTCACCTGTATCTCCCATTGTCGCCGATATATTCATGGAAGACTTTGAGGAGAAAGCCCTCCTTACTGCACCTGTTACCCCAAGGTTCTACAAGCGGTACGTAGACAATACTTTCACAATTTTACCATCAGACAAAGTAACTGCATTTTTAGAACATCTTAATTCCATAAACCCTAAAATTCAATTTACTATGGAGTTAGAGGCAAATAATTCCTTAGCTTTCCTAGATGTGTTAGTCATCCGAAATCCTAACAACACCTTAGGTCATACTGTGTATAGAAAAAAGACCCATACAAACCGATACTTAAATGGTGAATCTCAACATCATCCTTCACAGTTAGCTACCGTGGGCAAATCTTTGTTTCAGAGAGCACGAGGGATCTGTGACAGCAAACACCTGGCCGCCGAGCTTCAGCACGTCAAGCAGGTTCTGCACGACAACAAGCTTCGGGTCCCGCGCCTCCGTCACAGTGACCGAGTGAAGCCGGCCACAGTCGAGCGTGTGCCTGCTATACTACCACATGTCAGAGGTGTCACAGGCAAGCGAGCTTCTATTAGAACATTTTACAAGCCGCCGAAGAAGATTAGTCAGTTCTTACCATCCGTCAAGTGTCATATTCCTCTACAAGATGCAGGAGTATACAAGCTTGATTGTGATTGTGGTCTCTCATATATAGGGCAAACAAAGAGATCAATTGGAACCCGCGTAAAAGAACACATAGCTGACGTGAAGCATCAACGTTCCGGGAAGTCTGCAGTTTGCGATCATATTCTAGATGGCCCCAACCATTACATCAGATTTGATAGACCACAAATCCTCGCGAAAGAACATCGATTCCTACCAAGGATGATACGTGAGGCTATTGTAATTAAAAACATCCTAATTTCAATAGAGAAAGGAGGCTGGGTACTAGCACCTGCTTGGGATCCTATAATTAATAAAATTAAAACTAAACCCAAGCATACCACTGCAAGACTTCAAAATACAGTTAGTTCATTCTGCGTAGATCGGACCAAAGACAATAATTAAAAAGCTGAAGGTACTCCAGGTTAACTTTGACATCGGGATGTCAGTCACCTCAGTTCCCCGTGACCATGGGTGCTGGGAAGCACCCGAAACGTCGGGTATTAAAATTAATATAAATAAAACGCGATAAAATCCGTAAAAGTAGTTTTAATCAATGTAAAATATATTCTCTACGGAGGGTCGTATTTAGGTTTTTATTCAGGCACTATTTTCTCACTAAAGTCCTTAATAATCCAATCATTAGCTCCATAATCACCATCACTCATAGAAAAAACTTAAGTTCCTAAAACGCATAATTTGTAGCTCATTTCGTCATTATTTTAATTGTAATGCACTATTACGGCGTAGAATAATAGACGCAAGAGCTAAACATGTCATTATTTTATCGAAAACAATAAGATAATTGCAGAAAACAAAAGATTAATATGAACACAATTCCTAAAACGTTACTGTTTTGCTATTGCCTTAATTCCAATTCCAACGCAATATCAAACACAATACGCTGCTGTCAACTAACTTTCAAAAGTGCGTCGGGAGTACCGATTTCGCTTGAACAATTTCAATTCCAATCCCAGTTAGTTCACACAATCACCACGCAATACTAAAGTAATTTAGCGCTAGAGTCGCTTTCAAGAGTACCAAACGTTACGATCGGTCGGAATTGTTTTCAAGAGTAAGCCTACAGTACCGTAGACAGAGAATGCTATAGACTAATAATAAGCGTGGCCTCGAGTGAGAAAGGACGAAAACGTAGTCTTAGGTTATACATCTTCTTATTATCCTTATTATCTTTACGACTTTTAAACATATTTAGATAAAAATTTTAATTGTTCTAAGAACTGAACTGAACAAGATTCACCAATCTTAAGCTCACAAAACACTTTTTTCTCACTTAAACCAACTTGTAAACTCCTTAGATCGCTACGAACTGTTAAAGTTGTTTAGCAAAGTGTAGTTTGCTAAATAAAAAAAATTTATTTAGCAAACTACACTTTGTTTTTTTACATTTCTATGCAAGACGTATGCATAAATCTATCTTTTTCGTGTGCGAATGCGAAAGAAGGCGTCAATTTGTCTATAGGTTTCTCTGTCTACGCCGCCAAAGTGTGTCGCAAAAAGAGACAAAAAATACGTTACTATATTTAGGGTTACAAGTGTGAGGATAAATTTACCCCACAACTAGTTACAAAATAAGAAATCAGTACGTAAAGAAAGTCTGAAAAGAAACACTACTATTACCGATTATCTTGAATAGGTTTTTTTTTATAGGATAAGGTGACAAATAAGCACACAGTCCAACTGATGGTAAGTGGTGTACTCTTATTAGTTTGTGGTAAGTGGTTGCTGTGGCCCTAGACAGTACATTACAAATCCTCGATTGCGAATCAAAATGCAGATGCGTTGTCAGCCATGAGGATTAAGATGGAATGCCTCGTTTCCAGTAAAAAGGGTCTCCGGTTCTCTTAACTCACCATACGAAACGGCAGCATTAAGGCTACTATTTTACGCTAGTATTATGTGAGAGCGTGGTCCTTCCCGATTGAGCTGACCCATTCATGCTACAACTATACTACTAATGTTACTGCAGAATGGCTCTACCACGCTATTGGCATGTCATGTGGAAGGGAAGACAACATGCTGCCAAACTCAAATCAATTGCGATGAGGGCAAAACGGTGAGGATGGATGATGATGAATTGGTTCTAAATAACTGCCATTTGTTCTGACTTCGTGAGTAAATAATACAACATGTTTATTAATAATAAGCTTTTATTGATTATTGTCCTTTAATCTCTCAACCCCCTAGCGGTCTCATTAGACCACGGCCATATTCTATCAAATAATACTGGTAAAATTACCAAACGCTCTCGTCCTAATGAGTCTAGAAGTGCTGTAGATTTATCAATTTGTACTCCTGATATAACCGCTCTTTTAAATTGGTCAGTTCGAGATAGCTCTCACGGCAGTGACCATTTTCCCATTCTGATTTCCTTTTCGAACAAAGAATTGGCAGAAACTAACAAAAAAACATGTATTAAATACAAATTAGACAGAGCAGACTGGAACCTGTACAATATTTTTCTTTACAATGAAATTCTAAAAATCACTCCTATTTCTGAAAATATATAACTTCTGTTGTTGAAGCTTTTACACACGGAATTATAAATGCAGCAGATCAAACAATCCCTGTTAAAACTCTAAATAATAAGTGTAGGCCCTCCCCTCCATGGTGGGATTCTGAATGTACTGAGGCCATTCGTAATAGGAAAAAAGCCGAAAAACAATATAAATTAGACATGACTTCGGAAAACTATTCATACCTTCAACGTATACAAGAAGTGACTAAAAATACTCTTCGCACTAAAAAACAAACAAGTTGGCATGCCTTTTGTTCCTCAATTTCTCCTTCAATGCCTTCATCGGTTGTTTGGTGAAATATTAGAAAATTTCAATGTTGTTTTTCATCTTGTTCTTACAGTGGTGCCATTCCCTCTCAATCTATAAACACTTTTCTAGATAAACTTGCCCCCCTCTTCTGCTCCTTTGAGAGAGGAACTACCTCAAAGTATTCCATGTGATTCTTTTTTCCCTTAGATCCCTTAGAACGTCCATTTTCTTTATATGAATTAAAGCTCGTCCTTTCTCACGTTCACGATTCAGCTCCTGGTTTAGACGGTATTTCATATTCACTACTTGCCAAATGTAATGATCAAATTTTATGAATGAATGAATGAATGAATATACATGTACAACAACAATAAGTTAACGTGTGTCGGGGTGTAAGGATAGTCCTACTATTTAAATATCATTAACGTTTTGTTTGACATAGGCTTTGTTCCCGACTCTTGGCCGACTCAAGTAATTATTCATATCTTGAAACCTGACAAAAATCCTAACGATGGCTCTTCCTACAGACCGATCCGACCGAGGTGCTAATTTGTGTTTATAGGCGCTGCAAGATGCGATCGGGGAAGTATTGAATTTGGCGAGACAAGCGAAGCTTCGGAGCGGAATAAAGTGAATTAGTGTGCTTAATTATTAGTGTTTTAAGTTTTAATTTGTGTAAAGAAAATTAAAGTGTTAATTTAGGTAATTCTATCGGCAATTTTTATTGTCACGAACCTCAAGCTCGTAACAATATGATCAAGAACCGTCTTGAATGGTATGTAGAAAGTCATGGATTGTTATTAAATAACCAATATGGATTCAGAAAAGGTAAAAGCACATATGACAGTCTTTCTATCTTCACCACAGATATTAGACTAGCATTTTCGATAAGTGAATCGGTCCTTGCTGCTTTCCTTGACATTTCTTCTGCTTACGATAATGTCAGACTTAACATCCTTAGAGAAAAGATGTTTAAGCTTAATATATCCAAAAAACACAACTTTGATTGTCAATTTATTTCTTGATCGATATATATATATTAAAATTGATGATGATCTAAAATATACTCGAAAGGTTTTCAAAGGCCTTCCTCAAGGCTCTGTTTTAAGTCCTTTATTACACAATATTTATACGTCAGAGTTAGACCAGTGTATTTCAAAGTGTAGAATTTTGCAATACGCTGATGATATCTTAGGTTCTGTTAATGATAAATGTATAGAATGCTGTGCTAATGCGGTTGAACAAGATCTCCTCTCTATGGCCTCTTGATCAGCTGATCATATGGACTAGAAGTTTCCCCAAATAAAAGTAATACAGTATTTTTTTCGCGCAAAAGAGTTTTACCTGAAATCCAGGTTCGCCTTTTTGATTATCCGCTCGTAAATATCCAGCAAGTTAAACTCCTTGGTGTAATTCTTGATAATAAATTATCCGGCACGCCTCATATCATTTATACCCAAAAAAAAAATGCGAAAAAAATATAAACATTCTAAGAGCTTTATGCGGGGTATGGTGAGGCGCTCATCCATATTCTTTAAAATTAATTTATAATGCGATTATAAGAAGTCGATTAGATTATGCCTCATTTCTTCTTGAACCCGCTAATAAAAAAAGGATTAAAAATATTAGATATCATTCAACACAAGTCTTTAAGATTAATTATAGGCGCTATGAATTCGTCGCCTATCAATGCCTTGCAGATTGAATGCGGTGATCCTCCACTTTTAATTAGACGACAATATTTATCGGATTCCTTTTTTTATCGGATTCTTGGTTTAATTCAGGAAAATACTGGCGTAATGAAGAAATACCTAACCTAGTGAAACAATACAATTCCTTACTAGATCCTATTCATAGGTCGGTGACTCTGCCTCTTTTCTCCAATTCGTATGAAGTTGCACTTTTCAAACCCAATGTTATATTAGATATAGGATTAAATAAATTTTCTATTGAATCAAATAAAAAAAATTTATTTACGTTGGACAAGAATTTCCCAGATTGTCATTATATTTTTACAGATGCTTCTAAGATTAACTCAAAAGGTTGTACTGGCTACGCAATATAACATCAAAACTGGAGAATAGTTCAAAAAATTAAAATCCTCCCGAATCTTCAGTTTTTACTGGAGAAATGTTAGCCATTTTACAATCAATAAAATATTGCTACCTTTTTAAATTAAAATCAAGCGTGATATTTTCAGATTCTGTAAGTTCTTTGTTATGCAATCCTTTCTGTGACATTTCCCGCAATCCTCTGATATTTGAAATTAAGAAACTTCTATTCTTATACCAATTCGAAAACATCAACATTTCTCTCGTTTGGATTCCGAGTCATATTGGAATATCTGGTAATGAATATGCTGACAAACTTGCTAAACAAGCTATAGTTTGTGGGGATACTTTTCTATTTAAAAATTATTGCTATGACCTTATAGGAACTACGAAATTATTATATAGAGAGAGATGGCAAAACATTGGAACAAAACCAAAACAACAAAAGGCTGTCACTATGCCAAAATTCAACCTATCATTCCTTCTAAGCCTTGTTTTTATAAATTATCCTAAAATAAGAAACATACATCAATGTTATGTAGAATGCGCTTGGGTCACTGCTGTAGTTCGGTTCACCTTGCTAGGCTTCATATTAAAAATTCTTCAATATGTGACTGTGGTTTGGATATTGGTGACCTCGACCATATTTTCTTCTCGTGTCCTTTGTATGATTCACTATTTAACACTTTGGTAAATCTTAAAATTCCTCTTCCTACAGAAATTCGTTCTCTTTTAATTTTTTCTAAAAAAATTAAAAATGTTTTCAATTGTCTTATGGAATTTTTAGAATTAAATAATATTAAGTTATAAAATATTATTCATTATTTAGCAATCAATCGTCTTTATTTAGTATTATTTATTATTTTAACCGTGGTATTGAGTTTAGTATTATTTTAATTCAACATAACATCCATCATTAATTTAATAAACTTCAGTACAAGTCACTTCATGATCATTATGATAGTATTCTATGGTTCTTAACATTATGATTTCGGTTTTTAATCAGAATCGTAGTTTCTCTTTAGATTGTCCGTCGTTTCATTACAAGTTACAAGTATTTTTATTGGATGGAGGTTGGCAGTAATTGTTAGGTTGCCATATTAAAAAAAAAACTCTATGACTCCTTATTAGTTTGTGATTATGGAGCATTATGAATTTCTGTATATAATACATAGATAAATAAATATGTAGCAAGCTAATATATATAATACTCTACGGCCATCTACGGCCTACTCTATGATTATGGAGGTTTAACATCAGGCCCGGTCAACTCTGTATGGACAGAATGAAATACCTACGGGGGCTGAATTTTATTATTGCCATTTGTCAGATAAATTTCTTGTTTCATAATTAGTAAGATTTTGCTAAAGATAAATTACACTCAAAAATTTTGAATACAGAAATAATTATCCATAGGAAGATAACTATGCCTGTTGTATTTTTCTACATTATTATATTAGCATATCCTTGACAGTGAAAGAAAATTAAATGTTTTCTTTTTGTTTTGATTTTCATTGAGTAGAAAATTATATTTTTTACTAGTAGCACCAAATACCTAAATGAGTATATATTACTCTTTTCTCATAATCAAGTCAAATCAAGTTTACGATGTTGAGTTGAGATTAATGTCCTTCGTTTATATGATGTGCAATGTGTTAGTCAATGAATCGTAGTGAAATACGAAATAGTGACTCTTAAAAACTACGCAGCAATGGCGGATAAAGAAAATAGAAAAAGTGTTCTAAGTGCAACAGCATACCAACCATTGACAACATTAAATTATTTAGGTTTCCGAAATTCGCAGTAAAGTATATTTTGCGGTATGTATACGATATACATATACACTATTTAATAAGTTCTAACCTTAAAGTAAATCTCTTGTCCAACTTATTGTTTCTCTTTTACCATTTAAAAACAAATTATTGGTTTGTAAACCATTGGACCTACTTTGATAAAATTTGTATTTAATAATTATATCTTTTGTTTTCAGCTGTAAATTATGGGCGAAATATTATATTCCTTCCCAAGAGCGGTATACTACTTTAGCTTTCCAGACAAAGCTACATAATAAGCCCAGAATGCTGTGTGAAAAACATTTTCATGATGGTTAATTTAATGATGCAACCAAGAAAAAGCTCTTAAGAACTGCAGTCCCATGTGATGTAAGTAAAGTGTATAATGTATATGGTAATATGGTATGTATATAGTTTTCTTTAAGGATTACTCAGATATTTTATATGGGGATTACTATATTCAGGAGTGGACTTTAATAGACTGTAATAAAGATGATGATGATTATTCATATGACCATCATCTGGATCTAACATGGATGGATAGACCACATACGGTAGTTTGAATCCTGTTAATTCTTTCAACTAATTTAAATTGGATTGGACAAAGCATCCAAAGGATTGAAGTCTATAAAGTTGACACAAGCCTTTCCTTACATTATTAAAAGTGCTACACACTACATATTATTTTTAACAATCAAATTTTATTTTAAAACAACAACAAACCTTAAGAAAGTTCTGGCATCACAATATGAATAATTACATTTGGTCCTAAACCTATCAAATTTAAAGGCACAACTTGTACAACACAGTAGAAATACATGCATCAAATGGTTCTCAAACAATAGATAAACACAAAATTTCTTTTCACATAGTTATTGTATTTACTATCTTATTTTGTTATATTAAAATAGTGGGTGTATTATAGAGCAAGTTGGATGAACAAGACCATTCATTTATTTTGTATTGATAGAAGGGTAATGTAGTGCCATGAGTAGGGACTGGTTTACTATGAAAGTAATGTCAATGAATATAATGTTAATTTAATTTTATATAATAATTTTATGATACTATAATTTATTTCAGTTTTTATTTATTTCCAGACTAACAAAGTGTATTCCCATTTTATTTTGTGGAATCACAAGCTGGTCCCTCGCAAATTATTGCTGCAAAACCACAAGCAGGATCTTCAAAAAGGACATCATATCCACTGAAGAACAACCACAAACATCAAAGCATAACACATAATGTTGAACCTGAAAAAGAAAGTACTCTATATGAAATTTTTTAAAATGAAATAAGGAATATTTTTTGTAATCTAATATTTAATATGTTTTATAATTTTGAATTAAAATTATTCTATTTATAAGCTGCATTAATATATTGCATATAATATAGAGACAAAATTTTTAGTGTCAATTCAGGGAAATAGATAGTAACATAACATAACATAAACACTCACGCCTGTCACCCAGAGGGGTAGGCAGAGACTACGGACTTCCATTTGGCACGATCCTGACATACCTCTTTCGCCTCCTTTACATCCATATATCTACGCATACATGCTCGTCGGTTAAGGGTACTTCTAACGTGGCCCATTTTCAAAATATCGCCAATTTGGTCGATAAACTTTTTCCTAGGGCGTCCCTTCCCGACTCGGCCATTCACATCTGCCATATAAATTTGCTTTGTCACTCTTTCTTCATTCATTCTTTCTACGTGACCAAACCACCGAAGCATTCCTTTCTTAATCCTGGTCACAACATCATCTTGCATACCACATTTATCTCTTATCACGCAATTTCTCACCCTGTCATTCAGATTACACCCTAGCATATTCCTTAAAGACCGCATTTCTACAGCATTTATTTTACTTTCGTGCTTCTTCTGCCACACCCAGCTTTCACTACCATACATTAAAGTAGGGACTAACACAGCATTATGAATTACCATACGTGCCTGTTTTGACAAATTCTGGTTCTTCACAATAGAGTGTAGTGCCCCATTCACTCTATTCCCTGCATTTACTCGTCGTTCTATATCCCTATCATATCTACCATCCCTGCTAAATACACATCCCAAATACACAAACTCATCCACTTGCTCAATCAATCATTGTTTACTTAAGTAATTGAAATGTTGTAATCAATATTGATTTTCTTTTCATTTTTAAACCCATCAAATGTCTTTATAGAAAGAACTAAGCTGCTTGAGAAATTTTGTTTCTTAAGTTATGTATGTTTTTTATTTAATTTGTATTTTTATTTTGAATAAATAAATAGAAATTTTGTAATTTTTGTTCTTTTATTTAGCGCTGGGATAGGAAACCCAAAAATACCTCAAATAAAAAAAACAAAATAGACCACATCCAAATTTTCCCGCCACACGAGAAGTGCTGGAGGCTGACGATAGATAGCGCTAGTAGTTATATATCTCATTTCTTAAATTTTGTATGAAGTTGTCGTTCCTCTCCGATAGGAGTAATAGTGTTCTGTGTTTAACATCATAGATAAATAAATATGTAGCAAGCTAACATGGTTTAACAGGAACGTGATCGCCGACTTATATTAAGTTTTGGTTTAAAAATCATAACACAACAATATAATTTACCAGTAGTAGTAACATACGTATTTATGTACTATTATAAATTATAATCTTTGATTTCTTGCAAAAGGTACTTGCACAAAGTTTTTAATGGTCAAAAATGAATAGCAAGAGTATGTTTAATTAATATGTAATTAAACGTAGTAGGTATGTAATTAACTAATTTAATATAGAAGCATTAAAACAGGAAATTTCGGAGAAGTATTTTTTTATTTTATTATGTTACCTACATATGTATTGTGTACTGTGACGAAAATAGATCTAGTACTGCTTCTGACAACTTGTTTTGTTATAGAATAATAATTTAATATATCTACTAGAAGTAAGTAGTTTTTATTTTAATGTAATGATGTGTTTGATGTATTTCCGTCGTAAATTAAAAATATATTATCCTTTTATTACTTTATACAGTAGAAATCTTTCTTATTCAAGAAAAACTACCATTTTAGGTATTGAAACTTCTTGCGATGATACTGGTTGTGCTGTAGTTAATGGTTATGGTAATATTTTAGGTGAATCTTTATATTCACAAAATGCACTTCATGTTAGATACGGTGGAGTTAATCCCACGCATGCATGGGAACTTCATCGTGACAATATTGATTTAGCTGTAAAAGATGCTTTAAAAAGTGCAAAAATAGGAGTAAATGAAATTGATGCTATAGCAGTTACTGTTAAACCTGGCCTGTTATTGAGCTTAACAATCGGTGTAAAATATGCAAAATTTCTTGCAAAAAAGTATCACAAAATTTTAATTCCTATACATCATATGGAAGCCCATGCATTAGTTGCAAGAATGTATTATGACATACCATTTCCATACTTGACATTATTGATATCAGGAGGACATTGCTTTTTAGCTGTAGTAAAAGATGTGAACAGCTTCCTTTTACTTGGTCAAACTTTAGATAATGCACCAGGGGAGGTCATGGACAAGGCTGCAAGAAGAATGAAATTAAAAAATATTTTAGAATATTCGTCAGTTTCTGGCGGTAGAGCAATTGAATTAGCTGCCAAGAATGCTGCTAATCCTGCTATATTTCAATTTCCAATACCACTACTGAAAAATAGAGATTGTAATTTTAGTTTTAGTGGCCTTAAGGATTCACTGATGCGTAAAGTAATAAAGAAGGAAGCAGAGCATGGATTAAGGGGTGATGAAGTAATACCAGAAATTTATGATTTGTGTGCATCATTTCAGGCTAGTATTGCCAGGCATTTAGCACACAGACTTGAAAGAGCCATAATATTTTGTGAAATGAAAAAGATACTACATTTTGATACTAAAAATATTATAATATCAGGTGGTGTAGCATGTAATGACTACATATATTCATGTTTGGAAAGTGTGGGTAAAAAGTTTGGTTTTAATTTGTATAGACCACCCCATAAAGTTTGCACAGATAATGGTGTAATGGTTGCATGGAATGGTATTGAAAAAGTAAAAAAAGGAGACCCTATTCCATCATTTTCTATTAGTAATGTTGATCCTATTGCATCTTTTGGCTTAAATATTATAGATCAAGTGAAAGAAGCAAATTTGCCAATAAGAGCTCCTATGATTGAAGACATCAAGAAACTGTGATAAATAATTAGTAAATTATAGAAGTATATTTTATTTTTAATAATTTTAGTTCTCAATTATATTTTTTTTATAACCTAAAAATATCAAAAACAAAACAACTTTACCTGCTGAACTAGTTTTCGATAATACAATACTGATAATGATTTATTTCATTACTAAATCAATGGCAGTTTCTGATTATATCATTACATAAAACTGAAATATTTAATGATTTACTCCAATTATGTATCTGAATATAATGTTCTTTTTTGACCCTTAATAAAATAAAAATAACTATTTTGCAATCTATTGTTTGTGATAAATTTTTATTTCAATTTTTTATTAATAAAAAACCTTTTTTTATATAGGAGAGGGGCAAATGAGCATATGGCTCCCCTGATGGTAAGTGACTACTGCCGCCCATGAACAACTGCAACATCAAGGGAATTGGTGGTGCATTGCGGGCCTTTAAAATTATCTAATTTTTTTATTAAAAATTATAAGTATGGTCTCGGCAATACAAAAATTTTTTACTCTTCATAATAGTTTGTCTATAAAATATTATGGCACTTTTAAATTCAAATCTTTTTAAATCCTTCAAATTAAATGAAATATATGTATATTTCACAAATATAAAATAAAAGTTTAATTTTATAGCAAATAAATAAATATAAGTAATAAATCAAAATAATATTTTCTTTAGAGTAAAACTTCTTTGTAATAGTGTCATTGACTTCTAAAGTCATTTATCGAGCAAAAATTGATTGAATCTCAAGGTGGTACATAAAATAGACGCAAGATAGCTTGAAGTTATAAAATGGATTGTTTTGAATGAATTAAGTAAAGGCAAAAATAAGTCAGTAGTCGAAAAGCAGATTAGAACCCACAAAGCTTTAGAGTTCGTGGTCTAAGTACACTATTCTATCTCATTCTCTCGTAGGTTAAATCCTATGGATATATATTTTTACCTCTTTTTAGTGTCGCTTTTATGTTTCATTGAGTTTCATGGCGGTGGCACGTTTACATTATCGGCACGAGCAACTGACCGAGTTATTTGTGGACGAGTATGACACGTTTACATACATACTTGTCTATATTCATTCAATGTAAATCTTCTAAACATGGATGACATGTTTGTCGTTGCCACAAATTTATGTCTACTTGATATTTATAGACTCACAAATATTTTTTGGAGGGAGTAGGGTGGCCCACTAGATGGATCATGCAGTGACGACCTGGCAAGACATGTAGAAAATCGATGGATGCAGATCGATGGTGGCTCAGGTCTGTCCTTTGTGGTATTTTTTGGATGAGGCCTATGTTCAGCATGGAACTGGTGAAGGGTTGTAATAATGATAATGATGATATATTTATTTTCATTAACATTATTTTTAAACTGATTCTATTTTCTTGATACATTTCTAAAAAAAAATAGTATATTCGTTATCCAGTCCATCACGGCAGGTAGGTATTTTTATTATTATAATTTTACTAAATTATTATATAAGAAAAATATTAACTACCAACTATGTAAACACCATCACGAACATACACGGGCATTCCTTTTACTGGGGCCAAAAAACCACAAAAAACTGACATCGAAGTGGAGAACTATAATGCTCGGGCTGAGTAGCGAGAACACCCGAACAAGGTTTTGAGTAGGTGTTCAAGAACAAGGCGTTTACTTTACGGCGCCTCTACACGTGTTGGCCAACACAGTGGCGAATGTAGTGGCGAAGATATTGGCCGAGAGTTTGTGACGGCATCCACACGTTGGAAGTTCATTCAGTTTGCTTCGGTTCAGGCCAATGTGCGGACGACTTTATTAGTCGACGGTTCCGTGGCGCAGTGGCTTAGCAATGAGTGGCTGCGCCGGATGTCGCGGGTTTGAATCCCGTAGTATTTGTATTCACAAATATTTGGGGTTGATGTATGTCCTTGTGCATTTTATGTTTGTAAGCTGCCTCCGCGATACAGGAGAAAATCCAAGTGTGTGTGTGTGGGGGGGGGGGGGGGGTAACGTTTTTATAAAATAATTATAAAAGAATAGTGTATATTAATGGGGCTGTAAATAGTTTAGTGCCAATTTCAACTTTAAACATTCCTACTACTTTAATAAGCGCGATTTAATTATTTTTAAACAATTGTTTTAATCGATAAGCTATTTATCAAAAAAAAATTATGAACATTTATTTACAATCATATTATTAAGAGAACAATTTTAAAATTAAAAAAAAAATGAAACACGTCGTTTATATGTGGTAGAGCCATGCAGTTATATATATATATATATATATAGTTGTAGCACTTTGTTTTGTTGTATGACTGCCTCGTTGGTCTAGTGGCTGTAGTAGAGCGACTGCTGATCGTGAGGTCCTGGGTTCGAATCCCGGGTCGGGCCAAAAAATTAATTATTGAGGTTGTCCGTCAAGAAATTCTCAGTAGTTGCTCGGAGTCAGCAAGTTGGCGGTGTCTCACCCCCGTGCCTCGGAAAGCACGTAAAGCCGTTGGTCCTGCGCCTGATCTCTCTTCGGTCATATCGGTTTACCGTCCCATCGGATTATGAGAGTGTAGGAAGAGAGAGTGCACCTGTGCTTGCGCATACACTTGGGAACTATAATCTTGTCCTGCGCTGATGGCTAGCCTCCGTTGAGGCAGGCCGCCGTGGCCGAAATTCGGTTGGGAGGATTATTATTATAGTTGTAGCACGAATGGGTCGGCCCGACCGGGGAAGGACCACGCTCTCACAGAATATCAGCGTAAAATAGTAGCTTAATGATGCTGTGTTTCTTATAGTGAGTAGAGAACCAGAGACCCTTTTTAAAGGAAACGAGGCATTTCATCCTTGTCCTCACGGGTTACAACTATAGTTGTTTAAACCGACTATAAATCAATAGCACGCTACAAACTATAATTTTTTAGTACGCTATTAAATACGCTATGTTATAGCGCGCTATTTATAAGAAAGCGCGTGGGCGGCCGGCAGGCCGTAATGCCTTGTAGCGCGCTAAACCTCATAACACTTTACATGTAATATAACGTGTTACGAGATTCGACGACGAGATTGTTCGTTGGACATACCGCGTGCTAAACAAGAATATAATTTATTAAAACGTTAAATTTTATTCTAAAATAAAATAAACCAATGAACTCTCCTTCATACTTTTCAGGATTAGGAGTGTCTATAATTGATATAAACGTTGTTTTTAATGAATGTAATTTACAAATCAATTATAGGCGTATTTAAAAGTTCATTGATTGTATATACAAAAATCATCTACTTACATACGCTATTATATACAATTTTCTATTTACATTTTATTTATATTTAAAAATATTAGTTGGGCTACTTTTGTAGAGGATAGCCGTGTTCTTCGATCACTTATTACTCCGAAGGATAGCCGTGTTCTTCGATCAGTTATTACTCCGAATTCGGGGTAAATGAATTTGTGTTCTCGTCAGTACTTTAAGGGACGTTCCGTTCTTTTTATTAGGTTGTCAGCTAAATATTTATCTAACTCTTCGGCAGCCCCAACATCTGATGTCTTAAGTGAAAATTCTTTGTCTGTTTCGGTGTCAAATTCGGACCACAAACTAAGAGTCTGTAACTGTACAGGATTAGCAGCTGATGTTGCCGGTTCAGATGATGATGATGATGATGATGGTACAGGTTCGCCAGAATTTACTGGTTGATTTTTACTGTTTATTTCGTTTATAATTTTAATTTTTAGTATATTTTTAAGGTGTTCAATCTGTTCTTTGTTTTTTATAGCTTTTAGTTTGAATCTGGGATCAAGAATTGTGCTTAAACTTATCGTTTCATTTCTTTCTAAATTTCCTAGTCGAGTTTTCATGCCTTCTTTTAATTTTTCAGCGAGTTTTTTGACTGGGTCGTATAGTTCTTGTACTGTGTAGTAATTACATATGTTGATAAGGCTAGAAGATAAAATAATCGCCTTACTTGCAACCAAATAATTTTCGGCGCTCATTTCCACGGTAGGTAAGGTTTGAAAATGACACAAATTTGTTCCATACATTTCCACTCTTCCATAGGAATTATTGGAAGATCGGTTTCTAAATTTGAAATGGTAGCTCGTAATGGTTCTCCTAGCTCAACAAACCTTTCTAGCATTAAATAAACTGAATTCCACTTCGTAGGTACCGATTTTATAACTGTTTAAGGTTGTGCCACATTCTGTTGGTTGATCTGGTATTTTAATAACTTCTCCTTGGCTATGGTGCTCTTTCGAAAGTGGCTTACAACTCTGCACTTTAGTTAGGGTATCTCCAATTTCCTTAAGTGCGTCTTGAATCACGAGGTTCAACTTGTGTGCTAAGCATCCAAAATGTGGCAAGCCGTCGACTTCGAAATATCTGGCAGCACTCTCCATGTTGGATGCATTATCGGAGACAAAAAAATTTACTTTGTCGTAAATGCCCCAGGTTTGCAATATGTTTTTTACTTCTCTATATATCCTTATACCAGTATGGTGTAAGGATATATAGAGAATTGTAAATTGCGTAAATTGCCCCCGTCACTGTTATGTCACAAGAATTCAATTGCGTGTTATCGTGTTATTTTGTTTTGTTGGAAAATGCAATTGTTGATCTCTCAACAATTGGATATAATTTTGGAGGTAAGTGTTTTTCAATTTATTAAGATTGGTTTATTAAGTGTGATGCTCATATCTGATATCTGATTACATGTTTTTACACTGATTGTATATCAACTCAAGAACTTGTTTTATTTTTTCACATCTGCACAAGACAATCTATCTGACAAACATACTAGCTTATTTATGAGATTGACCATTTTTATTAACTACCAAGAAAGGAGACCGTTGATTTTTCATTGTTTTTGGACTGCTGGTAGTCTGTCAGATCTTAATTATTAAATAATATAGGGCATTAAGTCCATCCTTATGCAGTAACATTTAATTTGATAAATATTTTATTTATATTTGAGTTTAAAATAAACAAATCTATTTTTTTTTCACTTTGACTTCATTTTTTGTATTTTACATTATTTCAGTTGCCGTTGTCATGCCGTGTGTATCATAATTGCTGGCAATGAACTGATAGAACAGCATCACATTCAACTGCAGAACGGGAACCATCTGAATCATCTAGTCCATCCTCTTTGCAATCTGAAGTGAGTAATGTATTGCATCCAGAACAACAAAGCTTAGATCATACATCACACAGTGTACTGCTAACTAATTATTTAAAAGCGCCACTAACAACAAATCAATGTTTTTTACCTGGTTGTAACAATTCCAATGGACTCAATGTTCCATCAGCATTGCGAGTATGTCTCTTTTGTGATTACAATTACTATGTATGTGTGTTATACGTGGTAGAGAAATGCTTCAGTTATATTAGAAGTATAGCTGTAGCATGAATGAGTCGGCTCGGCCGGGGAAGTACCACGCTCTCACAGAATACCATCAGAAATAGTAGCTTAATGCTGCTGTGTTTTGTATGGTGAGTGTTGAGAACCGGAGACCCTTTTTACTGGAAACGAGAAAATGATCTTAGTCCATAGGTCACACTGTGTGTAGAAAACAATGAATTTCGCCATTATCCTTCACAGTTAGTTACCGTGAGCAAAACTTTGTTACAGAGAGCACAAGGGCTCTGTGTCAGCAAACATCGAGCCGTCGAGCTTCAGCACGTCAACAAGCTTCAGGCCCGCGCTTACGTCACAGTGACCGAGTGAAGCCGGCCACAGTCAAGCATGTGCAGTACTAGCATTTGTCAGGGGTGTCACAGACATAATTGGCTACATCTTGAAGCGAGCTGACATGAAGCATCAAGGTTCAGGGAAGTTTGCAGTTTGTGATCATATCCTGGACGGCCCCAACCAGATAGACGTATAAAAAAGATTTGATAGACCACAAATCTTCTAAAAGGTACTTCAATTCCTATCAAGGACCGATACCTGAGACTATTGAAATAAAAAAAATTTCAATAGAGAAGGAGGCTTGGTACTACCACCTGCTTAAGACCCTGTAATTAATGAATTAAAATTAAACCCAAGCATACCATTGCAAGACTTCAAGACACAGTAAGTTCATTCTGTAGATCGGACCATAAATAAAAATTAAAAATCTGAAGATACTCCGGGTTAACACTGACATTGGGACGTCAGTCACCTCAGTCCGCCGTAACCATGGGTGTTGGAAAGCACCCGAAACGTCTGGAATTAAAAATCAATGAAATAAAACGCGATAAAATAGATAAAAATAGTTGTTAAAAAAAATTTCAAACATTTGTGAAAATAAAATCTTATATATCTTCAAAACCCCGACTTTTTTTAAAGCAATTCCTTAACCATTTCATTGTTTTAATTGCATATTATCATATCTATATGCTTTTATATGTGGGCATCCATGGCCGAAGTGTCTATGAAGAGTGGGCAATCCCCTTTCAAATGCCCACTACAATGGTGTCAAAAAAACATCAATTTTTATACCCTAATCTGAAGAAAATATTTGTGAAGCACTGTAATATAGTGGCCACGTCCGTTCCTTGTGAACGGATGTTCTCAAAAACTGGTCTCATTATCAACCAAATACGTACAGGGCTGACCATCAGCAAAGTTGAACATATCATGTTTCTTAACGTAAATTCACCTCAGGACTGGTTCAACGGGTATGAATTAAATGTAAAATAAAACAAATTGATGAATGAACTTAAAATCATCAAAATCAACATAAAAATATGGAAAAAAAAAACAAAAAAATTTGTAAATAATATTAATTTGTGTATATTGTTATTGATTTGTTTACATAGAATCTGATGATCTTTTAAATCTACCTGAGTAGATTACGCTAGTGTGTGTGTGCCACCCATAAGCATGTGTCAATCATTCATTTCTCGTTTTTTTATTGGCTGTGGTTGACAAACGAGCACCAGTCCACTTGATGGTAAACGGCGTTGCCAGCCTTGAAGACTAAGATGAAATGCCTCGTTTCCAGTAAACAGGGTCTCCGGTTCTCTAAGCTCACCATATGAAATACAGCAGCATTAAGCTACTATTCTACGCTGGTATTCTGTGAGAGCGTGGTCCTCCCCGGTCGAGCCAGCCAATTCGTACTACAACCATAATATAGCTGCAGCATGGCTCTACCACGCACGAAATCGTGACCAAATCATTCTAGTACATTTTATGCGTCGGTCGGAATATTATGAATGGAATGAACAAATATGATACCTTTATTGAATATTATTAAATATATATTTTATTTATTTAATAAATTTATTTATTTAATAAATTTGTTTATTTTAAATTTCACTCCTAACAATACACAATTTCATCTTACTGACTAATATTATTTTTTTGTGTTTAGGCCATCTAGCATCTAATGTGCGTACCACCTTGAGAGTCTCATCAATTTTGGTTCGTTTCGATAAAATGAGAATGACTTCAAACTTTAACTACAGAACGAAGTACTTAGATGGCGCTATTTATTACAAAGCTAAGCAATTTTAGCAGAAAGAAAATATTGTTTTGACTTAGAACACTAAAATTTAGGCTTTACATATCTAAAAATAAGGATTGTAACGTTTATTTGCTATAAAATTAAACTTTTATCTGTTCTGTCAACGCATATTTGCCAAAGCAGGGTTAACAATATGTAACAAATACAGTCATTTGAAGCCCAATAAGGCAGAGCAATGCTTAGCTTTAAATTACAATCTGTAAATTTTCATTTTCGCCTTACTTGGCAACACTTCCGAATGCATGCACTGCATTGAGTACCTACCATTGATTTATATATTACACTGGATTAGTAATTACCGCGCCAAATCGTTGCCACTGCACATATGGCCACAGCCATATGCCTAGCTACGTCCGTTCAGTGTTCAATGTGACGCCGACAGAGTTGAGCCGAACAATCCGCGACAGAAAATGGGTAAATGCGTAGTGAAAGAATGCGATTTAGTCACAAAAACATAATAAATCAAGCGAAATCACTTTCCACATAAAACGATAATCGCTGTTTAGTTTACAAATATAAATTGCACAAGGACAAACGTCCAGGTCCGCAGCAATTATTTGTGGGTCATACAAATAATTGTTCCGTGCGGTACTCATTGCTAAGCCACTGCGCCACGGAGTACCGATAACGTAAGGACGGATAAGTTACAGTTTTATTTCTTTATAGTTAGATATTATAGGAAGGTACTTACCGAACACACTTATATTTTTTTATTACTAAGTGCTTGGCTTCTGCACTACGGGTCGGGGGTTCGATTCCCATACGGAACAAATATTTTTATGGCCTACAGATGGTTGTGAAAATTTGTGTTTGTAATCGCACCGTCTCCGATTCAGGAGAATTCCTGGAGTGGGACAACGTTATAAAAAACAATTACTACTAATTTTGTTGAATATTGATAAAACAAAAAAAAACCTGCTTAGGTAACTTTTTATCTTTTTTTTTCATAAAGTTGCCCTCACTCTATTTCTCCTGAATCGTAGACGGTGCGATTACAACCACAAATTTTTACATACAGAAACACCTGTGACTAGTAGCCCAACAACCAATCGCTTAGCCATTGCACCAAACCTGTCATATGCTAAATTTCTACATAATATTTGTAATCACTAATACTGTAAGTAAATAGATCGGTAGATACTTACTTCATTAAGTTTATCATACGCTTCTTATTTTTATTACGCTTATTTCCCATTTCGCCAACACTATAAACCTAAGTGTCTATTTTAATATTACGTAGTCCTGTGCGTAATGTGTGTTCTGAGCACAAGCGACACAGCCCTTCCAAATTCCGATCAAAAGCCGGAGCTAGAGTGAATGACGGTGTCGGGCGGCAGGGAACAAACTTTAAAACGACGTTAGTTTATGTAATTTCTTTTTACGATGAAAATAATGATAAATAAATAAAAGTAAATAACATAAGCCCTGCTTTATAGTTAGTTCAGTTAGTATGCAAAGTTCATGATCCAATTTTAAGTATTTTTTGAATACCAGCGGTGTATAGTTCGGTTTGGAGGTAACTTTGGAATTTTTTTTCTATCAAGAAATATGGAATCGTGTTTTCGTCTAACATAGTACTTAACATTAATCCTCAACTTCACCATATATTTATTTCAAAAACAATGCTTTTTTTTATATAGGATAGGGTGACAAACGAGCGCACAGTCCACCTGATGGTAAGTGGTTGCTGTGGCCCATAGACATCTACATCTATCCTCGATTACGAATCAAAATGCAGATGCGTTGTCACCCGTGAGGACTAAGATGGAATGCCTCGTTTCCAGTAAAAAGGGTCTCCGGTTCTCTACACTCACCATACGAAATACAGCAGCATCAAGCTACTATTTCACGCTGGTATTCTGTGAGAGCGTGGTCCTTCCCCGGTC